TATGGGTGATGTAAGATAAGGATTTAATTTTGACCGATTAAATCTTTATTCATAGGCTTGACATACAAAACTGATTTGATGGGATTTTCTTAACTAAACCGATGCTATGGGATAAAACAAATCTATACTTACCTTTGACTTTTCTAGCAAAGGTAAGAAAATCGGTTCTGATTTTTATCCCATAACAAATCCTTAATGTCAGGCCTATAAATACTAAAACAAATTTATAATTAATATCATTCTATTTCCAGCAAGCATTAATTACCTTTGGTTTTTCTGCCTACTATTTCTAGTAAATAGGATGACTTTTTATATAAGTATAGATTTCATATAATGCAAAGACTGAGATCATAAAAAAGAATCCTAAAAACTGAAACAATATATTTGCATAATTTAAGGTCATTAAGACATCGATCTCTAAACCAGATTTGATTTTCAGAATATGTTTTTTCATTTCGAATTCCATACAAAATGGAATTCTTTCCAACCAATAGATGTCATAACAAATATTAACTCTTAACTATTAGACTATTAGTACATACCGAACAAATTGTGTACTGATTTTAGAAAGTTAAAAAATTATTCATGTTAGGTAATTTTACATTTTATGCATGTTGAACGGTGGGTATTAAATATTGTTTCATAGAATGTAAATGTGTATTATATTATCTTTATGAGATGTTGAATTTAAAAATTAATAGAATTCTTCTTCATAGGAATTTTAAATGTAACAATATTCTTTGGTATACACTACTAATAAAATCTATATTTAAAGTTTATATTTTTTTTTTATCGAAAAAAATTCCTTAATATAAGGAATCATATATCTTCAATCAGTCCACATATATATACATTCTTCAAAATTTTGAATCTTGAATTTGATGAGAATTCGTATCTATGAGTGCAAAATATGGTTTAACAAATTAATTTTTTATTATTATTCCAGCCATACTTCTTTATATGATTTTTTGTGAAAATACAAAAGTAAATTCTTAATTTTAAATCAGCCGTACATTAAAAGGTACAAATTTGTTGAAATTACAAAAATAGTTTTTTATTTTAAACAGACGTAAATTTAAATCAGTTATAAAAAAGTAATATTTGTTTACCATTTAAATATTAAATCAGTCGTAATTAATGTTGTTTGTTTTAGTTACCACGATTTTCTCCAAACTAAATTAACAACTGTCATGATTTAAGGGCAACATTTAATTCATTTAATGCTGCTTTATTTTTAGGAGACATTAAATGCATTTAGCGGGAAAAACTTGCTAAAAATGTTAAATGGTTAATCTTTTAATATAATGATAGATATGATATTATATTATATTGCTCAAAATAGTAATTCATTTATTGCATTGACTTTTCAACTTACTAAATTTCGTAAATGGTACCCCTTATTATATAAGTATAGATAGTAGCTAGTGATTTCACATGTTTTGTTCTTCTACACCATCACCATTTATCTCCTCCTCTTTCTAATGTATTGTTATGTATTTTAATAGGAAAAGAAAATTGGAATGGATGGAAAAAATAATGAATTAGGGGTTAATTTAAATGTAAATTTTCGAAGATGTACCAAATTGAATGTATCTTTAGATTTATTCAGTTGTTTCGAAGTATTTGTGTTAGTACTTTAGTTCTCGTAAAATCGACTGACATCTGGGAATAGATATAGTGAAAAAATATTATTATGCTATGTAAATAAATAGTTTACAAGTGATAAAATAATTGTAGACAATGGCAAGACAAAAATAATTTACGGAAGAGATGTAAAAATATTACAATCAAAATACTGAAATATCTAGGAATCAGTTAAAACCAAATTATACATTCATATACATAATTGTATGAAAAAGTACGAAAAACTTAAGTGCTTGTTTATGGGTATTTTTTGTGAAAATTCATTTATAGAATGCACTTTTGGAAAATTGACTTTTCGAAAAGTCCATATAACTTTTTAAAATGAATTTCTTTTAAACAGCCAAATTATGTCAAATCAATTATTAATTTACTGCCAAATATAAATTAATTATTCAAATAAACTTTTATATTTAAACTAGCTTGTGAATTGATTCCAAAAAAATATAAATCATTTTAAATAAAACTAAAACATGGCTCATCACAAACCACAATTTCCATATTTATGTCATTGCAAAGAAAGTGATACCTAACTGCATAAAGAATTTGGATTTAAGTCAAAAACCAAATTTGAATTTTGAAGTGACTAAAAACACGTGAAAAACGAGCACACGGTCCATCACAGACCAAAAAACCCTTCTAAAACCAAATCTCATTGGCCACTATAATATTTGTCAAAACACGTAAAAAGATGATCAGACCCAAGATATAGTTATATTGAAAAATGTCATATTTTCATATTATTTATTTTTAAAAATTAGATTATATGTGTAAAAAGGTATGCAATTTATTGAAAAACTTTAGAGGTAAAGGTGTAACGATCTGCCCAATAATAGTACTATAATTCAAAAGATATATTTATTCTAAAACGGTAAGACTATTGTTATGCATAATTGCATATGTAAAGGTAGACAACTATTTTTTTCAAAAGTATGCATATTTTTAAATTAAAATGTCATACTGTAAAAAATAATAATACAAACAAAAATATGACATTTCATGGTATAAATATGTATTTTTGTTAAAAAAATGTATGATAATTCGACTTACCTAACCAGTTGTGTAACCCTAAATCATATTATGGGCTACTGTATTATGTATATTCGAGCAAAGTTGAAAGCAAGCACAACCCAATTTGTCTCGTAAAAGCTCAAACTCAACAAGTTCATATAATAAAACATAAAAATAATTGAAAAATTCAAACTAGTCGGGCAGAATTTGATTGAGCTTAATTTATTAAATGATCCAAGCGAAACATGCATGTATATTAAACCAACTATACTACTTCCATAAAACATATTTTCGGAATACGTTTTACAATGAGGGAGTAGCAAGGGAGTAGGCAAATGACGGGAAAAGTAGCATTATTTATATTAAACAAACACGAATTTGAACAGGATGTATTCAACTCAAATCGGCTTGAGTTACATCACTAGTGCTATGTTTAAAAAATAAAGTATGAAGATATTTTTCTTATATATATTTAATGTAAGTCACATTAATCACGGTTCATTTCAACTACTACAAGTTATTGTATTTTTTACCGTTTGATGATCTACAGCACACCTATGTAGGTATGTGAATATATTGTGTTTATCCAACAATAAAAAATTACAGTAATTGTATGGTAAGACCGACTCCTCCATGAATCAGAATGTGAAATGACTGAAAAATCAATCATTAAATATGTGATATGTTGTTATAGTATATTAAAATATTAATTATTACTTTTTAACCGTATTTATATAAAGATTGCTTGCATTTAAATAAATTCATAAATATTCTTATCTAATTGATTTGCTACTTTTTTAAAAAAATGGTAATGTTGTTTTTCTTTTTTTCTTATTTTTTTCTTTCCTTTTTTTTTTGGGCTAAATAAATTTATCATGTATTAACTATTAAGTCAATGTAATATTAAGTCAGTGTAATATGATTAGAATATGTTTTACTGCTAAATATATATATATATATATATATAAAAAAAAAAATTAAAGCCAGGTTGGAGTCTCCCTATTCCCAGCTGCAATCTATGTTCTTAAATAAATATATAATAATACTTGCATTTACTACTCTCAAACCCTACTCAATCAACCAAACAATAAGTCCCCAACAATTTTATTATCTTCTGGCAGTTTCAACTTCCCTGTACAAAACTCATAATCCTGGATTTTCTCAGCATCAGATTTTGTGGACACAAGTGAGGTGGAGAACAAGACTGAATGTTTGTGTGTAATATAAAACAGCTGTGGGCCTACGGCAATCTGACCAATGCGTAATCTTGCCTCTTATCTCTAAACCTCCTTATCATCTCTTCTAGCTCATCTCCATTTTTTTAGTAGATATTCTTCAACTGGCACCCCAGTTTTGATTTCTTCTTATTTTATTACTTGATATGTATTATAATATATATTTGGGTTCTTCTTCCTTTACTCTTCTGCAATTTGTTCCCCTTTCTTTATTCCCATTTGGTTTGTGCATATAATTGTATATCTGTCTAATCGAATTCAATATTCTTATTATTCCCTTTGTTTTTCTAATCTCCCTCTATATTTGGTAGTTGAAGGGTTTATCTTTTTTCCCCCTTTTCTTCCAACCCGCCGGTCGTCGACGCGTCTTAAAGGTTGAATCTTTAATCCGATTGTGTTGAGGGTTTATCTTTTTTCTTCCTTCTTTTGTTCGAAAATTTGATTTTCATCACCTGGGATTTTGTTTCTCCTTTTGATTTCTCATCCTGTTGTGTAATAATGGCTCTGTTTGCCGCTTTTCTTGAGATTTTGCGAAGGCCCACAATTGGAGATGTGATTTTTGAGCTGCTTGAGTTCACGGCGCCAATTTGGGCGGCGGTTATTGTCGGCGTCTTGGTGGGTTGGGTGTGGAGGCCCAAATGGGCCGATAATCTGAATTCCGATTTTCTGGATTATACTTCGAATAAAATAATGTCAAAGAAATCAAGACTTCATTACACTTTTCCACCGTTTTCTGCTTTAGTCCCGAGCTTGAGCTTGTCCAAACTTCAATTGCCAGCCTGGAGCTTTTCTTGGATTTCAGATGATGGGCTCCAAAAGGATAATTCACCCTTGGCTTCAGTTTCTGATATAAGGTTTTCATCATTACTTTTAGATTTTTATTTAATTATTTATTTATCTTTTTTTTTGTTTGTTGTGAAGTGTTGAAATGCTTGTACGAGTCTATTGTAGCTGAATTAGTTTGAGTTTATCTTCCTGCTCAGCTCGCCCAAAGCAGAAAATGAGGAATCGAGCCTTGTGAATGAAGATGATTTGAGGCATTTGCATAGATTAGTTGAAGAAAACGATGGAGGCCCTTCTTGGATAAAGATGATGGAGAGGTCCACACCAAATATGAGCTATCAGGCTTGGAGAAGGGATCCTGAGGTAGACTATTTCATTTTAGGTCAATAAAATACTTCCATTTTGCAGCAATAATTTATATACTCTTTTCGTTTTGATTCAGAGTTTTGTTAGCATTTTATCTTGATGATTATGATGCTGAAATGAGTTTTTGGGGGAAAATATTTTCCTTGGGTTTTTTGTAGAGTGGACCTCCTCAGTATAGGAGTCGAACTGTGTACGAAGATACAACACCTGAAATGGTGAGGGATTTCTTTTGGGACGATGAATTTAGATTAAAATGGGATGATATGCTGATACATGCAGAGACCTTGAAGGAGTGCCCCACGACTGGAACAATGATGGTTCAATGGGTGCGGAAGGTAGGGAGGGAGAGATTTTATTTTATTTTTTTTATTATTTTATTTTCTCTTGGGTTTTTTTCGGTATGATGAATTGTGATGGTTTTATGTTGATTGGATGTGTTCTTTTATTTCCGTGCAGTTCCCATTCTTTTGTAGTGACAGAGAGTACATAATAGGCCGAAGGATTTGGGACTCAGGACGGACGTATTATTGTGTAACAAAGGTAAGAGAACATTGTTCACATTTGTTTTTGTTTTTTGTTTTTTGGTAAACATTTGGCTGCTTGTTTTCTGGGTTCAAATTTGAAGTGCCTGATGAAAATGAATGAATGCCTGAGCATTTTTATTGTGTGGTAATATAAAAAATAATGTGGTAAAGATGGTTTTGTAATTGTTGTAAGTAAGGGCTGTAAAAATATTATTCTTGGATTGGTAATGATACTGGTTAAGGTTTACCTCTCAAAGTTGGGGAAATTCGACAATTCTGAGTCTTGTTTGATGTATAAATGAATTAGACAAAACCCGGAAAGTCTTGTTTTATGTTTTTGTAACAGAGAATTGTTTATCGGTTAAATTTACTCTCAGTTTATGTTTTGTTTGGGGCATCTGATAGTGAAATTGAAATGTTGAGAGTAGCAATTGGTGGCAGATATCCTTCACTTCTATTTTGTCGAGTCAATTGTGGTCCTAGGGTTGCTAATTCAATTAGTCTGAAAATGACATTTATTTTCTACTGAAATACTGTAATAGGGTGTGGCGAACTCCTCTGTGCCACGTCGTAACAAACCAAGACGCGTTGATTTGTACTACTCAAGCTGGTTCATTCGCACAGGTTATTTTCGTTTCATCCCAATAACTCATAGGTGAAAATGACAAGGATTTAGTGAAAAACTAGTGCAATACCCGTTTAGTACACGGGTGTTTCTTAAAAAATTTATACTTTAAAATTAAAAAATTAAAAAAAATTGAATTTTAAATGCTTTTTTGAAAAAAATATATTATTATTTATATTGAAAATAACATCAGTCTCTTATACGACTTACTCATCGCATATAACTACTTTTTATTATAACTACTTTTTATTCAAAGCGTAGCCAACGAATCGAAATGAACTTATATTATATAACTACTGTTTATTAAATTAATTTAAATAATTTGTTTTTCCCAAATAATTTATAATGTTAAATATAATTATTTACTTATTCTGTTTATGTATAATATAGATGTTAAATCGAAGCTCATCTCAGATTAATTTATATTATATAAAAAAAATTATAATAAACACAAAAATTATTAACTTTAAAAATGTTTTTATAATTTAAGTTATTACTTTTTTTATAATTTTAATAGAAAGACCGAGGAAAAGAGAACGATCGGGATAAAATATCATGCCTTATAAACCACTTCTAGAATAGAAAATTATATGAAAATATAAACGCAATTTAAAGGATCTAGTATATTTATGGCTATTCTAGGCCTAGTTGTTTTTAATTAGAAGTAAATTAAAATCTATCCAACAAAGCAAATGACAAAACATAAAAATTTGCCACATATCCCAAAACGTGCGAGCCTGCCACTTAGGCTCAGCTATTATGGGATTATATACAGGAGGATTACATAATATCTAATTCCCTTCCACAAAAATACTCCTTGTTCGTGACCAACTTTTATTGGAACACGTTGTTCGCGTTTATAACAAACATTTTCAATTGCTCTTTTTTATTTTCCTCGGACTTTTGATAAAAATAAAATGATTTTCGTAATTTTAATTAATTACTAAATATCATTCTTCTCTCTCTCTCGAATTTCAGCCGAGTCAAAGAGAGACGGTCGACCGACCGCATGCGAAGTCATACTCTTCCATCACGAAGACATGGGCATCCCTCGGGAGATTGCAAAACTTGGTATTCGCCAGGGCATGTGGGGCGCCGTCAAGAAGATTGATCCGGGCCTTCGGGCCTACCACAAGCATCGGGCTTTGGGAGGCCCACTTTCCCCAAGTGCCTCCATGGCCCAAATCAACACCAAATTTAGTTCTCCCGATTCAAGCCCGAGTAGAGATTTTTCGGAAGTGGGCCCGATTGATTCGGCAGAAAAGCCACGGGGCAAAGGTTTTCCAAAGTTGCTTGTTTTCGGTGGGGCCCTTGCGCTCGCTTGCACTCTTGATCACGGGCTTTTGACCAAAGCCGTTATATTTGGTGTCGCGAGAAGGTTTGTGAAAACGGGTAGGAGCTTATGATCAATCGAGCAAAATGGTTTGGGATGAGAAGATTATATATATACTATATAGTCACACTTAAGTGAGAAAAATCCGGTGCCCTTTACGATTATTTTCTTTTGATCTTTATATCAAAATTTGGAACTAATCGGCTTTTGTTCATACGTACTGTTGAGGATGTAATAACTATTGATCAATTGTTTTGGTCCACATTGTATTGAAGGGTAAAAAAATCAGCCAAGAAAATCACCAGCAATAGAGTTCAAAGTAAGTTTTGTTTTTAATTTGTGATGAGAATGATGAAGTTAGTGATATAATGCCATAAAATGAAAATATTTTTGTGAAGTACACATATAATGAAGTTGATGAGAAGAACTATAAATGGATTTGATGATTTTTTATGGGTGAAGCTCATGAACTTTATGTGTAGTGTATTGTAGTTGTTTTTTTGTTTTTTGTTTCTTTTCAAACATCAAATTTTATAGCACACCTCAAAATATACAACTGGGCCAATTGAGGCCAAGTTTGGTCATCACCGGCAAAGTACAAACCAGTGGGTTTAGCGCAAATGCAACCCCTAGAGACCACAGGCGGCCATACACAAATCCAACAAAAACTACTCTAACCAGAAACAAAAAGAAAATAACTGCACCACAAAAGAAAATACAAAAAGCCCCTCAGACTAACAACACAATCCAACCGAGCAAACTGGAAAAGCAGACGAGAGAACGGATATCTTCAACTAAAACCACAATGCTCCAATCCAAGCAGACAAAGTGCAGTGTATAGTTAGTTGTTCATATTAATATCTTGACAATAAAATATGGCCTAGTCCTACATATTTTACGTTTCCAAGGTCTAAATATAATGTCCAGCCCAATTTATCTTTACTCTCCTCACTAAATATTTTAAAATATATGGAAATAGGGCGCAAAGATTTTTCATGGAGAAATCATTCATTTACTAGTCAATTTCTAAAGGAATCTACTCATTATCTCTTTCATAAATTTCAACAATAAAAAATTCAAAATCATTCGTAATTATTGATTATGAAATGGCTTATTTTTGCATCTGGCTCATCATGCTTGGAGAAAGACAATAACTAATACATTCTTTCCTTTTTCTGGAAGAAAATGTTTGTCAAAAAGAATATTGGAGCATTTTTCAAATTTAGCTCTACCTTACCATACNAATCGAAAAAAATGAAAAGAACTACAAGCAAAAAGCAAAGTCTGATCCTGGACTGACATGCCCAAACGAGCAATCTGCACCACAAAGTGTAACAAAACACAAAATACAGAACGACCACTAAAATCTGAAAGAGAGGTAGCCATCCTGATCCATCCGTACAAGAGTACGGAGGCAGAAAGAGGTGTCGTCCGGGTGCAAAATGCTGCTGTGGGGAGTGATGGCACCTAGGCTGGCTAGGTAGTCAGCGGGCCGTTTCCTCTCGCGAAAGATGTGTAGCGGATCCACTGAAGTGTGGATCTGATGCGCATGAGCGGGTGCTGAATCTGCCACGAGCCCTAGTGGCACGAGGTCAAGTGGGTGACGACAACGACAACATTCAGCTCAATCCAAATATGAGTAGAGATAGAGCTAGACTAGCAGCAAGGTTTATAAAAAATGTTTTTTTTTTTTTTCAAATGATAGATATAATAAAATCCTCTAAAACATTACAACCGATTGTCCACTCACAATACTAAGCACCTTTCCATTTAAAACATCAAACACAAAGGTGAAAGAAGGCTTCTACGAGGGGATCCACCCCGAGCCAGAAGCACAAGACTTAAAAAACTAGACACAACACTCCCCTAATGAGAGAAAGAACCACCCCGCAAATAGGAAAAACAAACACCCCCAAAGGTTATACCTTAACACATAACAAAAAACAAGAACACACTACTACAACAAAAACACAAAACAGACAAGCTATAAAATACTAATACAATATGAATAAAGCCCTCTTCGTTGCCCGGCAAGCTACTCTGAAACTCCAAAGCACGAAGAAGACACTCGGAGACGAACACCAAGCAAGACAAGACATTGGCCCAAGACACAAACCTAGAAACTGTTGGAAAAGTGTGAATGAATTTGCAACTGAAAAATGAATTTGAAACTGTGTCTTCATTTTCAAAACTTGTAACTTAGTTTTATTAATGTTACATTTAATTTAACTTTATTAAGTTTGTATTAAATGGTTTAATTAATGAAGTCCTTTATCTTAGCCTATATAAGAGCTTGTCTTCTTTGAAGAGAAAGACACGAGAGTGAGATAACACCAAGAAAAGAAAAAACCCACATAAAGGCTTTTTCCCCATTATTGTTTTAATTGTTTTGGTCCAGGCATAGTTCCAGTTCGCCGGATTAGTTCCGGTTCTTCCGTTGTATCCTGGGAAACAGACGCTCATACAGGGCGAATCTGTTTTAAGGACACTATGTTCTCACAGGCCTCGGTATTTTTATTTTAACCATCTTATTTTTATTTTCCCGATACAGTTCCCTACAATCTTAAAACAGATTCGATTAAAGATGGCTGCTGAGCAAAATACTATTGGCGTTGCTAATACCGGTGGAGCTACTACAATTTCTATTTCTCCTTCTGTTAATGTTCCGGTAAATCATGCTGATAAACCGGAAATATTTAACGGCTTGAATTTCAAGCGTTGACAGCAAAAGATGTTGTTTTATCTCACTACGTTGAATCTTGCGAGGTTCTTGACGGAAAATCCTCCAAAGTTGGGGGAAAATCCGGATATTCAAGCTGTGAGTGCGCTTGATGCATGGAATCATTCAGATTTCTTGTGTAGAAATTATGTAATGAATTGCTTGGCCGATACGCTGTACAACGTGTACAGTTCTATCAAAACAGCGAAGAAGCTGTGGGAGTCTTTGGATAAAAAATACAAAACCGAAGACGCTGAAGCCAAGAAGTTTCTTGTAGGCCGGTTTCTGGACTACAAGATGGTTGACTCGAAGACTGTAATAAGTCAAGTGCAAGAGCTTCAAATAATCTTGCATGATATCCATTCCGAGGGAATGGTGGTGAATGAAACTTTCCAAGTGGCCGCCATAATTGCAAAGCTTCCACCGAGCTGGAAAGATTTCAAAAATTATTTATTACATAAGAAAAAATAGATGACTGTTGAAGATCTTGTTGTTAGACTTCGAATTGAAGAAGACAACAAGGGCTACGACAACAAACTGGTTAATCCTTCTTGGGCCAAGGCCAATGTTGTTGAGCATGGTGAAAGCTCACGTAAAAATAATAAGAAAAAATATGACAATACTGGCAAGGCAGTAATGGGGCCAAAGAAACAAATTTTCAAGAAAAAATTTTCTGGAAGTTGTTATAACTGTAACAAATCTGGCCATAAGGCATCTGATTGCAGGTTGCCAAAGAAAAATCAAGAAGCCCACATGGTGGAAATCCTGACCAAAGATGTTGATGAGATGCACCTCGCAGCAGTTATATCCGAGGTAAATCTGGTGGGCTCAAATCCACATGAATGGTGGATTGACACGGGTGCTACCCGTCATGTTTGCTCAAACAAGGAACTGTTTAATGTCCTTGACGAGACGGTGGATGGAGAAAAGCACTTCATGGGAAATTCTGCCATTTCTGACATCAAAGAAGTGGGAAAAGTGGTACTGAAGATGACATCTGCAAAAGAATTGACTCTTAATAATGTACTTTATGTACCAGAAATTCGTAAGAACTTAGTGTCTGGTTCTTTGTTGATCAAACATGGTTTTCGTGTAGTGTTTGAATCTGATAAGGTCATTTTGACAAAAAATGGAGCATTTATAGGGAAGGGTTATGAATGTAATGGGCTGTTTAAGCTCAATGTGATGACAATTAATAAAAATGTTAATCCTTCTGTTTATATGCTTGAGTCTTCCATTGTGTGGCATGGTAGACTGGGACATGTCAATTATAATACCCTGCGCAGGTTAATAAAATTGAAAAGCATACCTATGTTCCATATTGATTCAAAACATAAGTGTGAAACTTGTGTTGAAGCGAAATTAACACGATTACCATTTCAATCTATTGAAAGAAATAGTGAACCACTTGATTTAATTCACACTGATGTATGTGATTTAAAAGCTGTCACGACACGTGGTGGAAATAAATATTTCATTACTTTTGTAGATGATAACACTAAATTTTGTTATGTGTATCTTCTCAAAAATAAAGATGAAGCGATAGAGAAATTTATTCTCTATAAAAATGAAGTTGAAAATCAACTAAATAAAAAGATTAAGGTGATAAGAAGTGACAGAGGAGGTGAATATGAGTCACATTTTGCTGAATATATATTAAATATTAAATAAAATAACGTGTACGGCATTAAAATAAAATAAAAATGATAACAAACATATTGGTGGAAACGAAAATTGTGCTCTTCCGTGTTGGTTGACTATAGGGTTACGATAATGAAATCGAAGAATAGGTGGAAACGAAAATTTAATACATTGGTGGAGGGAGAAGACGCCGTGACCGCGAACCCGCCGCTGCATTCCCCGGGAATGAAGAAGACGAAGAAGGTGAGATTTTTTTATTTAACTACAAATATATATTTTTTTTGTTTGTTTTTATTTATTTGTCCGGTCGAAATACTGATTTTTTACAAAAATTAATTAATTAGGTGGACAAGAAGAAGAACCAGTCATGCCTGGACCGACTGCAGGATCGTCTTCTTCGGTACCGGGGTCTCGGAGAGGGTCACGAAATCGTAGGGCTAAGGTTGCATTTACTCCTAGTTAGTTAGTTTGTTTTGTATTTTGTGATTTTGTGGAGATTTTTTTTTCTTTTATTTTTTGTACTAGATTTTCAGATATTTATTTTTGATGGTTTTGTATACATTTTTTATGGTTCATTTTTTTTTATCGGTAATTGTGGTTGACTTTTTTTATATAGTATTTGGTGTATGTATGTATGAATGGTAGATTTATAATTTGACGAATGAATTGATATTAAAGTGATATTATTTCATGTTCAAAATGTTAAATCAAAATTTATAAAAAACTTTTATATTGAAGGATAAGAATAAAAATTCAGCTAAAATAAACGCGATTGCTGGTAAACAAGTTCGTGAACATCAAAGAGTCGAGCTTAACAAAAAAAAAATTAAATAAATAAATACAAAAAACACGGATTCTTAAAATCCGTGTTTATAAAAAATAAATAAATAAATATATAAACACGGATTTTCAGAATCCGTGTTATCATTGAACACGGATTATGGGAATCCGTGTTACCTAACACGGATTTTTAAAACACGTTTTTACATGGATTAATTAAGGGTTATCACGTCATTAAGCAAACACGGATTCTCATAATCCGTGTTTT